GACTTAATGGCAATTCAAACATTTGGCCACATGCTCTGCTACTTGTTTCTGCATGCCTTTCCACCAATACAACTCTTTCAAGTCCAGATACATTTTGGTAGCACCTAGGTAGATAGAGTACCTCGAACTGTGAGCTTCTTTCCATTATGACCTTCCTAATCTCATCTACATCAGGCACACATAACTGATCATTCAACATCAAAACTCCATCACTTCCTAGAGTGAAAGTAGTGATTTCTTTGTTTCTGACTCCTTCTTTTAACTTCACTAAGTACGGATCTTTGTCTTGCTTAGCCTTAACCTGCGCAACAAGAGAGGATTGCGCTAAGGCATACGCAGTTATACCTCCTTCTTCGGTCTCATCCAATATAATTCCATCATTTGCTAGTTTTCGAATTTCTCAACCCAAACTTCTCCTTTGTACTGCAAGATGGGCTAGGACACCCATTGACTTCCTACTAAGTGCATCTGCTACCACATTAGCTTTGCCCGGGTGATAAAGGATATTGATGTCATAATCCTTCAATAGCTCGAGCCTCTTTCTTTGTCTCAAATTTAACTCTTTCTACTTAAAAATGTACTGGAGGCTTTTGTGATCTGTAAATACTTCACAATGCTCTCCATATAGGTAGTGTCGCCATATCTTTAATGCAAACACCACTGCTGCAAGCTCCAAGTCGTGTGTGGGGTAGTTATTCTCATGATTATTTAACTCCCTGGAAGCATAAGCAATAACTTTTTCATCTTGCATAAGAACACACCCCAAGACCAACTCTGTAAGCATCATAATACACTGTGAACCCACCCGAACCAGTCGGCAGGGTTAACACAGGTGCAATGGTCAACCTCTTCGTTAACTCTTGAAAACTCTGCTCACAAGTGTCTGACCACTGGAAATTAACTGCTTTCTGGGCCAACTTAGTTAATGGAGTTGCAAGTGAGGAGAATCCCTCTAGAAATCTTCTATAGTAGCCAGTTAATCCCAAGAAACTCCCAATTTTGGTTAGCGTTGTCCGCCTTGTCCAGTTCTTGACTGCTTCTATCTTCTGAGGGTCTATTTTTATGCCTTCACTAGATACCTCATGGCCTAAGAATACCACTGACTGCAACCAGAACTCACATTTTGAAAACTTGGCATAAAGCTCATTCTCCTTCAAGGTCTGCAAGGCTATCCTGAGGTGTTTTGCATGATCATCCTTGCTCTTAGAGTATACCAAAATATCGTCTATAAACACGATAATAAAGGTATCAAGGAATGGCTTGAAAACTCTATTCATGAGGTCCATGAATGCAGCTGGAGAATTTGTTAACCCGGAGGACATTACTAGAAATTCATAGTTCCCGTAGCGAGTTTTAAAGGTTGTTTTAATATATCCTCTTCTCTGATTCTCAACTGATGGTACCTCAACCTCAAGTCTATCTTTTAAAAGTACTTTGCACCGTGAATTTGATCAAATAAATCATCAATTCTTGGCAGTGGGTACTTGTTCTTAATGGTAACTTTATCCAACTGCCGATAGTCGATGCACATTCTGAGAGACCCATCTTTCTTCTTGACAAACAGGACCGGGGAACCCCATGGTGAAACACTTAGCCTAATGAATCCCTTGTCAAGAAGGTCTTTTAACTGTTCTCTCAACTCATTAAGTTCTGCTGGATCCATCCTATAAGGAGGTATAGATATGGGATGAGTGCCTGGCATGAGATCAATGCCAAATTCTATGATTATTTCAGGAGGAAGTTTGAGAAGGTCATCTGGGAAAACGTCTGGAAATTATCTAACAACTGGCACAGACTGAAGATCTGGTGGTTCTGATTCTGCATTAATGATGTGAGCCAAATAGGCAAGACACCTATTGCCAATTATTCGTTGTGCCTTAAGGTAAGAAATAAACTTACCTACAAGCGATGCTGAACTACCCTTCCACTCTAAGACTTCTTCATTTTGAAATTGGAACCTGATTATCTTGGCACAACAATCTACCATGGCATAGCAGGAAGAAAACCAATCCATACCCATTATTACATTGAAATCCACAATTTCTAACTCTATGAGATTGGCCTCGGTGCTGCGACCTTGGACTTAAACTATACAACCTCTATAGACTCATGTGGCTTCCTGACTCACCAACTGGAGTAGATACTAGGAATGGCTCACTAAGTTGTTCAGGTTCTAGCCCGAGGTTAATTGCAAAGTATGGAGTCACGTATGAAAACGTTGAACCTGGATCAATTATGGCATAAGCATTATGTGAGCACACTAGAAGTATACATGTAATAACTTCTGCAGATGCCTCTGCACTTTGATGATAAAGTGTAGAAAACAAATGGGGTTGTCCCCTTCCCTGAGTAACTTGATCTGCACCTCTGCCTACTTCATGCCCGGCTTGATTATGAGAACCACGAGCCTAAGGTTGTGCAACTGTAGTAGCTGCGGAACTAGAAGGACGAGTTGATCCCCCACTGAAATTACATCGCAACTTTGGGCAGTTTGCCTTTATATGACCATTGTCTCCGCAATGATAGCAACCCTGAAACCCGAGCTTACACTGACCTGAATGTTGCCGCTTACATGTACCACAAAGACCTTGTTGTTGTGAATGTTGCTCAGCATAATTCTAGCTATAGGAGGATGATGTCCTAAAATTCTGATTCTGGCAAGACTGGTTTCCATAACTTTGAGTACGTCTGAAGGAAGACCCACCACCTGACTGATGACTGGACTGAGCTGGTGCTAATGACTCCTTATTGGAGGAACCCCTTCCACCTCCGCTGGATGTACCATTAAACCCGCCCGCCGTCCAGGCTTTCTTGTTCTGCTCTTTTTCTTCTCTCCTTTGTTATCTGTCTTTTTCTAAGTGCTTGGAGAATCCCACAACAAAGGAGAAAGTTATCATTCCTACCGCTGCAGCTGATGTCGTATCCTTAATGTGGTAGGCCAAACCACCAACAAACCTGCGGATCCTTGTTTTTTCTGTCTTAACCATGTGAGGAGCATGCTTAGCCAAACTTATGAATTCCATGTAGTACTCTTGTACACTTTTATTCCCTTGTTTGAGTTGCTCGAATTTTGTATCCTTAGTTTCCCTATCCTCTTCTGGTATAAAATTAGCCATGAAGGCCTCTTCAAATTCTTCCCAAGTAGGAGGAACATCATCTTTATCTCTTTCCTTTTCCCACATCTCAAACCAAGCGCCAGCCACATCTCTAAGCTGGTAGGCAGCCAGCTCCACAGCTTTATCATCAAATGCCTACATCACTCAGAGGGTTTTCTTGACACCCTCCAGCCACAACATTGGATCTTTATCAACTATAGTACCACGGAACAATGGAGGACTTAGCTTTAAAAATTCATTCACTCTTGAGGACTCAGGATTGTTCTGTCTATTTGATTGAGGTGGAATCTCATCTCTTCTCTCATTCTGGTTGGCCATGAAGGCTTTAAACATCTCCATAGTACTGTTGACAACATTAAAAATCTGACCCACCTCAGGATATATAGATGTCTGAATCGGAACTGTTGTTGGGGGAGGCACTGGATCCTGAGATACTGGCTCATCATGCTCCACCCCTTCTTCATGTTCAACCCGGGGTACTTGAACCCCCTTTGTGGATTTACCCTTTCTTTTCTCAATTGAAGCCTTTTTAGTTCTACCTTGAGCCACAATAGTGGCAATAGTTTCTTGAGTAGCATCCTGAGTGTCGGTGTCAGAGCTACGAGTACGAGCCATTTTTGCGCGTTTTGGAAAAACGAATACATTAGATAACTTATTAGATGTAGGCTCTACTGCATGATCTAAAGTATGAAAACATGAGACTTTACCTAAATGCTTATAGCCTCCTACTTATAAGTATGGAGCGCTTCATACCCATAAATAAGACTCTACAGACACGGCTTCATAAACCCCTAGGACTCCATAAACCTAAGGCTCTGATACAAAGTTTGTCACGAACCACTTTCTACACAAGTCATGACCGGCACCCGGTCGCTAAATTTAACTGAGCAAACCATCTGCACTTATTAAAACTATTATAACCTCAAACTTTATATGCAACAAGGAAATACTTTAACCAAATACTTTTAATTAATTTGAATATCTAAAATAACCAACTCCCAAACTTTGTTCGTAGTAACTACTGACATACTGCTAAGTTATTATCAAAAATATCTGAATCTTAACCCACCGACTGTGTCTATGAAGCCTCTACTGATAAACTGACGCACTGCTCAGGACATGAGATTGCCTGGCTAGTTTTCCAAGTAAACAAAGAAATAACTAAATAAAGATGACTCAAAGGAATACTCCACGAATAAATACGGAGCTCACCAATAGCACTAGAAGAGAGGGAAGTCCTAACATGTAGCATGCTCCCCTGCAAAACCTATTCCTACATTGTACCGCAGACCAACGTAGGTTCCCAAAAGAGAACGTCAGTACCATCCATTGTACTCAGTGAGTCTCGACAATAGGGGATGAAACTTTAATAAAATATATATTACAAATAAAGATTATGAATGCATGGAAAACATAAAGCTTCTAACAACAATTCTAAAATAATTGCATAGTAGTAGTTTATGAATATTCTAAAAGAAATTCCCAACTTTTTCTTTCTTATAAAAAAAATACTTCACTTTATACTTCGGCAGTTCCAACTATCCTGACTTATTTCTGTCTTAGTCACCGTATGATCGGCACAAGTTCGATCCCAACCGGATCGAATAGGCCCAATCCACGAGGTGCCACTCGCTTCATGATTCTCAGCGCTCATGTATCATACCTTAGCCTGGATAAGTAAATTCTCAGCAACGAGACCCTCAGCTCATGTGCTTCCTACTTTGGCACAAGTAGTTTCAGGAAGTCAACGCCTTGGTCAGGACCCTCGGCCCGGACGATGACCCCTTCTCAGAATAGAGGATACTCCCAAAAATCTTTTCTTTCTAAAACTTCTTCTTGTGACTTTCAAGTCAAAATCGTTTTTGGAACATCCTATATATACACATGCGGGTATCCTTACATGTAAAGCATGGCATAAGAATGAAATAAACATCCAAAAGTATTTCTAAAGATTCTTCCTTCTTCATGAATTTTAATATGAAAATGGCATATAAGAATAACACAACAATCTGAATATTTATGCACATATATCATAATAAATCATCTAAACTTTAGCTAGAATAATTCTAAGTTAATAAATATCCACTCGCTCCGATTAAGTACATATTAACTCTTTTAGATAATTCATCGAACACCTTGCATGAGTGCTTTTGTGAGTTAAACCACTTTAGTAAAGGGTTATATCAACTCACCTCAAAACTGCTCGAGCCAATACGTAGACCCCAATCCAATTTATACCGGTTAAACAATCGATTCTACAACAACCAATGTATTTTAATTAATTTTAAAATTTCACACTTAAAAATAGATTTTACTGTTGATACAAAGAAAGAAGAGAATTAACTATTCAATTCTTACCTACTACTACTGTAGGATAATTAACAATAGGGAATTTATATACCTGAGTTCAAGAATTAGTGATTTGTAAAGAAACCTAAAATTTCCCGTTGCATGCGTGAGTATTGAGCAACAAGGCTGCCTTTGCTATATTTTGTAGCGTTCTGTTTCTCTTTTTCGTATAAGGCTTGCGTGAATGAAAAGAAGTTTCAGCCTTTTGTTTAGTTCGTACAAGGCTTTTCAGCCTTCAGCCTTTTTAATTCTATTTTGCTCAAGGCTTTAAGCCTTTTGCCTTCCCACTTTATGGTCTTTAGGCTTGTCCCTCTTTTTTTATACTTAACTAATAATTAATGATACTTATTTTTTAAAAATTAGTAATATTAAAATTAATAATATTCCCTTGCTTGTATATCACATTATTTATAAATAGAGAAGTCACTTAAAAGTCAATCATAAGGGTTTAAATTCGTAATAGAAGTACAAATTTTATGCACTCAAGGCAAAAAAAAAGTTTAATTCTATAGTTAGCGTGTCTTGAATATTTTATAGATATGAGGAATGTTACTGATAGCATAAAAACAGTGGAGTGCATAAAATAGAAAAAAAAATAGAATGAATTCAGCAAAAAATTGAAGAGTGGAAGCATTAGCTTCTTTGTTCCAATTACAATAACAACAACAACAACAACAACAACAACAACAACAACAACAACAACAACAACAACAACAACAACAACAACAACAACAACAACAACATACCCAGTATGATCCCACACCGTAGAGTCTGGGGAGGGTAGTGTGTACGCATACCTTACCCCTACCTTGTGAGGATATAGAGGTTGTTTCCAATAGACCCTCGGCTCAGGAAAGCGTAAGCACCACAATAATGAAAATATAGACAAGAATTGACAGTACCAAAAAGCCATATAAAAGCAGAATAGAAACAACAAGATAGTAAGGTGATCAACAATAAAAAAAAAAAATAACGGTTAGTCATAAATGCGTCAATACTACTGTTATGACTACTCTACACTACCTACTCTACTACCCTAATCCTCGACTTTCATACCTTCCTATCAAGGGCTGGAAATGTCCATCACCGGAAAATCTTTTTTCTGTTGAAAAAAATGGAGTTTTTGAAATTTTAAACTGGAAGAAGCCTTTTCTTACCCAGCAGACACACATGTACTCACATAATTCACTATTACTCGCCTCTCAATCATAAGAACCACTATTTTTATGCCCACACAATTACCGGTGATAGAAACCATCCAAAACGCCATTACCATAATAGTCATTTAAAGGCCATAAGCCTAGCTTAGCAGCCGGGAAAAAAAGAGAACAGATCAGGGGCCAAAAATTAGAACATAGGGTGAAACTTTGTTGTTTAGTTTGACGGTGACGAGGTAAATGAAAAAGAGAAAAGAGAAAGAAGAAAATAAGGGAAAGAAAAGAAAAATAATATTTTAATAAAATATATACTTGTCTAGGGCATATATTTCACCTCCAAGCAGAAATCTAGTTGTAGTATCTCAAGGGTAGATTTATTCTATTTTAAAATAGTTTAGGAGGGTAATAAAACCCCAACAAAGGTAGAATGTGTAGTTGAGAATCCGGCGATAGTTCAGGTACTTATGCATTTTCCCTAAAGAATATGTTGCCCTTTTCACTCTATTCTCATTGTGATTGAACTTTCGATCCTATTATATCATTAATCCATAGTCATGCAGTTTTTATCTGTCTTTCCGATTACTCTGAAATTAAAAGGGTCGTGGATAGCTTATTTGGGTTGGAAAAAAGTCACAAACACCAAATACTTAAAATTAGCTTATAGTATAAAGAAAGATAGAGTTGGAATTTTCTTTACTATTATTTCCTTATTACTAAAGTTTTAAATTCTCAACATTCAAAAAATTAATCTAATTATAGCGCATAATGATTTAACTTTATCTCTTTATATTACAAAGTAAGTACATTTAAATGTAGAAAATTAATCATATGTGGAAGTAAGTGTAATAACTTCCATTAATCATAGAAAAGAATACATATAAGGAACTACGGACAAATAGGAAATACGCATATGAATATGAAAAAAGAAAAGTTTTCCATATACGATTGGGAAAAGATAAACACGATCAAAACTTTCCATAACCTGTTGCTTTGAGTTGAAGAAACAATTAACTAATATAAGCCCTACTTGCTGCGCGCCTAAGTAATAATTTCCTAAACGGTGGTACAGATATCTATAAATACTCTCAAACCTCACAAGAGTGGGTTGCTCTAGTGGTAAGCACCATTCAATTCCAACCAAGAGGTTGTGAATTCGAGTCACCCAAAGAAGAAAGTGGGGAGTTCTTGGAGGGAGGGAGCCGAGGGTCTGTCGGAAACAGCCTCTCTACCCAGGGTTATTGTTGTTGTTCTTTTCATATAAAGGTTACAAGGTATTCAACTTCTTCAGAAGAAAGTTGCGTTCTTGTTCAGATTCATGGAGCACTTACAACAGCCTGTCAAGAGGGTTTCCGTTTCCGTCCCACCGATTCAGAAGGACTTATGTTCTTGTTGAGATTCGTCGCTGGACAAGAGATGCATGATTCTGGATTTATCACCACTAACGTTGATGTCTATGGCAAACAAGAACCTTGGGAGATTTACGACAACGGAGTACCCTGTGGTGGTGATGATGACAGCACCAATTATCGCTATTTCATCACAAAGCTGAAGAAGAAAAGCAACGCGAGGTATCATCGTTCTGTCGGAAACAAGGGCACTTGGAAACAGGACAACAAGGGCAAACCAGTTCACTACATAAATACATCTTCAGTGGTTAATATTGGATTCAAGACAAATTTGTCTTACAAGAATTAAGTGTTTTACCCTGAAGATCAGAAAGATGGACATTGGCTCATGAAGGAGTACGAGCTTTCTAAGGTTATTCTTCACAAGTTCGACCAAAACTGTAAAGATTATTATGTTCTCTGCGCCATCAAGAAGTTGAAGCACGTTAACAGTTCATCCGAAACTTCCACAATCACGACGTTGAATAACGTTTCCGATGGAACTGATGAGGTAACGAGTTATGTTGATGACTTGTTGGCTACTAATAATTGCAAGGATTATTATAATATGTGCAAGAATTTGGAACACTCCGAAACAATGGCTTTTCAAGAATCAATGGTGATGAATAATAGTGTTGACAAACCAGCTGAAGGGACTACTTTTGAGATGCCAGAACTACCAGTGCAGTGCCTGATGACTTGTATCAATGGGATGAAAAGGAATTGGACGAATTAAATCAGATATTAGATGGTGTACCCGAGGTTTATGTAGCAGTAGAACCAGAGGCGACTTATACTACTTGTGGGCAATATTCTGTTGAAGCCACGGCCAGATATGAGCCTTCGATGCCAGATATTAGCAGCAATTCAGCGCANTGTGCCTGATGACTTGTATCAATGGGATGGAAAGGAATTGGACGAATTAAATCAGATATTAGATGGTGTACCCGAGGTTTATGTAGCAGTAGAACCAGAGGCGACTTATACTACTTGTGGGCAATATTCTGTTGAAGCCACAGCCATGCTAAATAATTTTGATCGGTCGCAGCCTGATATGTGCAACAATTCAGCGCATGTGGAATATTCTGAAGTGGCTAATCATATGACTGATATGTCTCAAATGAATTTGATTAGCTTTGATCAGTCAGTGCCCGAAGATGTGCTTTGCTTGGATCCATGGGATATAATGGACTCATATGAGTTAAATCGGATATTAGAAGATGTATCTGAGTGTTGTCCAAATGGATGCTAACGAGGACTAACATCACGTGCCATTATTAACGTGTAACGCACATTTATAGATACTAGTATTAACCAATGAAACCTACTTGTTGCACACTTAATTTCCTAAATGGAGCCCGAGAAACTTCTCATATACAACAACAACCCAGTATAATTCCACTAGTGGGGTCTAGGGAGGATAGTGTGTATGCAGACTTTACCCCTACCATAAGGTAGAGAGGTTATTTCCAATAGACCCTCGGCATCCTTCCCTCCAAGAACTCCCCACCTTGCTCTTGGGGTGACTCGAACTCACAACCTCAAGGTTGAAAATAGAGGTTACTTACCATCAGAGCAACCCCTCTTGTCAAAAAAGTTAACTACCATATTATTGCTTTTGGGCGGAAGAAACATAATTAACTAACGGAAACTACTTGTTGTGATTGTAAAAGAAAATTTCTCCATAATTAATTTCCACGATCAAAAAGTTTCCATAAGTTGTTACTTTGCGTTAAAGAAACAATTAGCGAATTTGTATACCGTCGAAATCGGGCATACCCGATTTCGTTGGCAGGAGAATTGCCTCGAAGGTAACCGCATAATAGATCGGGCTCGAACTCGATGATAGAACATCAAGCCTGGAGATCGAAGTGTTCATTGAGATCGAGGCCAGCAACAATCGAGATCAAGCATGACTGACTTTGAGTAAGACGTAATAACGGAATGGCGAGATATCAGTAACCGGTCGAAAATCACGGCGAAAATCCCGTAACAGATTAAATCAAAGCGGTTATTAGTGCCAATCATGGAATCTACTTCGTTATTAGAGTTATACCTTATTTAGGATTCCTCTATTATATAAAGAGGGATCCCATTCACTTGTAGAGGACAATCACTATTCACTAATAAGAATATACACATACGATATTTTCTTTGTTTTACCTATTGTTCATCGATGTTTGTTCCATCTTCTACTCTTCTTATTAACTAACCTCGAGACTATCTCGAATCGAGGTCGAGGCATTGTTCGCAGACCGATTTGATTTATTTTATTGTTCAATTTATCTATTTAATTCGTTGTTTATCAATTGGTACTCGTTTAAATCACATGTCCTTAAAACCACAATATATGTTTAATTGTTACTCAATTTTTAGGATAAACAGTTTGGCGCCCACCGTGGGGCTAAGGATAATAGTGATTGTACAGTACTGATTCTCGTAAAACACACTATTTTACGCTTGTTCTTGTCAAGTATATTTGCTTTCAGGTTAAAATATGTCAAACTCACAAAACGCATCCACACACGGTGACAATGGCCTAGGATTCCATGGTGAAAACGAAAATGTGATTGCTCCAGGAGTCGAGGTGCCACAAGCTAATCTCGGGGGAGCACCGGTTTCCAATCCAGTCGATGTTAATTTGCACGTTCCTCTAAACGCGGACTTAGGCACAAATCTCGATGGGAGTGTACGTAGAGAAGGCCGATCTAGTGGCCAAGGAACACAGGGAAGAGGAGACGAAGGAATCAGTCTCCAAGTGATATTCGAGATGCTTCAGGCTCAGCAAGCCGCTATTTCTCAGTTACAGAATCAACATAGAGCTCCGAATAGGGTCAAGACGGAAATTACTCATCGTACCGAGCCAGTACCGGAAAGGTCGAATGGTAACGAATTGGGGATTGATCCTGCGGTAATGAAAATGCTCGAGGAGCTCACCAAAAGAATTGAATCAGGGGAGAAGAGAATCGAAGACAACGATAAAAAAATGGAGACATACAACTCTCGAGTTGATCAGATACCGGGGGCACCGCCAATCTTGAAAGGGTTGGATTCAAAAAAGTTTGTACAAAAGTCGTTTCCTCCAAGTGCGGCTCCGAAGCCTATTCCAAAGAAGTTTCATATGCCAGACATACCCAAATATAATGGGACCACCGATCCTAACGAGCATGTTACTTCATATACATGCACCATCAAGGGTAACGATTTAGAAGATGATGAAATCGAATCTGTGCTGTTGAAAAAATTCGGAGAGACCCTTTCGAAGGGAGCAATGATTTGGTATCACAACCTGCCACCAAATTCCATCGACTCATTTGACATGTTAGCAGATTCTTTCGTAAAGGCACACGATGGGGCCATAAAGGTCGCAACGAGAAAATCGGACCTTTTCAAGGTAAGACAAAGGGATAATGAAATGTTGAGGGAGTTCATGTCCCGATTTCAAATGAAACGCATGGAGTTGCCACCGGTCACAGATGATTGGGTCGTTCAAGCTTTCACCCAAGGGTTGAACGAGCGGAGTTCGATAGCATCACGTCAGCTAAAACAAAATTTGATCAAGTATCTAACTGTAACTTGGGAATATGTGCACAATCGATATCAATCGAATATCAAGGTCGAGGACGACCAATTACGAGCCCCTTCTGGTTTAGTACATCCAAATAGGTCGGTAGTTAAAAACCAGAGGGACGTCGATAGGGATCCAAGGTCGAACAAAGATCGATATCAACCATATACCGCAGATCAAAGGAATAGTTCCGGACGCAATTCTGTCCGGAACGATCGAAGAAGTGATCGAGGATAGAATTCTCGATGACTTATGAGCAAAAGTGGTTTTGACAAGTATGCCGATAACACAAAGGCACCTCGGTTATCATAATATAACTTTAGCATCGATGCATCGGGCATTGTATCGACAATCGAAAGGATTAGAGATACTAGGTGGCCAAGACCCATACAAACCGATCCTTCCCGGAGAAACCCAAATTTGATGTGCAAGTATCATGGAACGCATGGTCACAAGATCGAGGATTGCAGGCAATTAAGGGAGGAGGTAGCCCGTCTATTCAATGAGGGCCACCTTCGAGAATTCCTTAGCGATCGAGCCAAGAATCATTTCAGAGAAAGGGACGCCAACAAGTAAAATAAACAGGAGCAACCCCAACATGTCATTCATATGATCATCGATAGGGTCGACATTCCACAGGGACCCATATTCAAATGCACTAAGATATCAATCACTAGGGAAAAACGAACCCAAGATTATGTGCCCGAAGGCACTTTATCATTCAACGACGAAGAAACAGAAGGCATTTCTTAGCCCCACAACGACGCTCTGGTAATTTCTATCTTATTAAATAAAGTTCAAGTTAAGCGTGTTTTAGTGGATCCATGTAGCTAGGCGAATATCATCCGATCGAGGGTCGTGGAGCAACTCGGCCTACAAAATAAAATCGTGCCCGCAGCTCGGGTCTTAAACGACTTCAATATGGCCAGTGAAACAGCTAAAGGGGAGATTATTCTACCAGCGAACGTGGCTGGAACCATTCAAGATATCAAGTTCCACGTAATCGAGGGCGACATGAGGTACAATGCCCTGCTCGAAAGGCCTTGGATCCACAATATGAGGGTATTCCCTTCGACTCTCCAACAAATGATGAAATTCCTGACATCGGACGGTGTAAAAACAGTATATGGGGAGCAGCATGCTGCAAAGGAAATGTTTGTGATAGATGAGGTTACACCGATATCGACACCATCAACCTCGGAAATGTCGAGCATCAAAGGTAAACAGGAAGTCAAATAGCAATCACAACCACCAGCCTCGACCGAATCAGGGAAGCAGGAGATAGAAGAAGAAGAAGAGGAGGACTTTCTAACCCCTCGAACTTTTATTGTTCCCGAAGATTCTGACGCCACCAAATCAACGGTCGAAGAGCTGGAACAGGTTATATTGATCGAGTACCTGGCCGAGTGAAAGGTATACCTGGGAACGGGATTAACCCCCGAACTCAGGAAAAGCTTATTCAATTTCTTATTGATAACATAGATTATTTTGCTTGGTCCCATTTAGACATGACAGGGATCCCACCGGAAATAACGACGCATCAGCTAAGCTTGGAACCTAGGTTCAAACCGGTGAAGCAAAAGAGAAGACCCCAGTCCGAGGTAAAGCACGCATTCATAAAAGACAAGGTAACTAAATTTCTCAAAATAGGGTCCATTCGGGAGGTGAAATATCCTGAATGGTTAGCCAATGTAGTTGTAGTCCCTAAAAAGAGAACAAACTTAGAATGTGTGTAGATTTTAAGGATTTAAACAAGGTGTGCCCCAAAGATTCTTTTCCACTGCCTAACATTGATCGCATGATCGATACCATGGCCGGCCACGAGATCCTTACTTTTTTCGATGCCTATTCTGGGTACAATCAAATCCAAATGAACCCGGAGGACCGAGAAAAGACTTCATTTATCACCAAGTATGGAACATATTGTTATAATGTAATGCCCTTGGGCTAAAAAAATGCAGGAGCTACTTACCAACACCTAGTAAATAAAATGTTCGAAGAACAAATAGGTAAATCAATGGAAGTTTATATTGATGGCATGCTAGTTAAGTCGCTACGCGCAGAGGACCATTTGGCTCATTTGCAGGAAACATCTGAGATTTTAAGGAAATACAACATGAAGCTCAACCCCGAGAAATGTGTTTTCGGGGTCGGTTCGGGCAAGTTCC